ATCTTTAATTTCACCCCTTCGTTCAAGTGTTTGGTTCACGCATGCGCATATCAGCGGCTCATCGTTCTTCGGTCCGAGTTGAACGGTTTCATTCTGTTTCATTCATTTGGCTCATTTCGAGTCAAAGTGACTGTCAGGCTGTGAGTTTTGATTGAGTAACTTGTAGATCTGTGCTTCTCAAGCTGCAAACTGATTCAATTAAATGATTCAACTAGTTCACCAGAAAGAACCGGTTCGAAAGAATGATTCATTTGCGAACCAGACCAGAATTTATTTATACTCTCTTTCTTGCTTGCTTCCTTTCTTGTTTGTTCTTTAGCTCTGAAATCTTTAGCTCTTTTGTAATCAGAGAAGTGTTTTGCATGCTGACTGGAGTAAAGTTCAGTGGTTATGCTGAGACTGTGTTCTTCAGAGCTGCATCAACAGCTGTTTATCTGTGACCTTTGACCCCGACCACCACATCTAGCCCTGTGGTTTTTCTATTACTCTCTCCCTTTTCTCTCTTCAGACACAGATGCACTGTTAAAACATTATAAATCTGCTTACAGATGCCAACAGCTTCACTTATCAGTCCATGCATTCCCTGGGAATCAGGCTCGTGGCCACAGCATTACTAGTGCCATTCTCTGCTGTTTGACACTGATGAAAAAAAACAACAATCTGTAACCCTCATGCCATTCCATGACACAGAAAGCCAGTGGTCCTGGCATGGAATGCATTTGAATATGTGGCATACTGGCAGGAAGCCATGAGTGCCTCATGTGACAGGGGAAGGTCATAATGTCAGCCTCAGGCTCAAACAGACAAACAAGCCTGATCCCTCACGGCGCCCTCTGCTGGTCGTCATTAGGATTCTCAGCCACAGACTCCATCAAGTTCAAAAACAGACAACTCTTGATATATCATCATGGTTTGGATTAGGGTTATTTGTAGCCATTAGTTTCATTAAAACAAATGAAATGTATCGTATGTCCTCATTTAGCTAGTTAAGAGTGTGTGTGGAGCTGCTGAGCTGTGGGAACGTGCACGAGGGATCTGGATCAGATGGGTTAAGAAGCTCAAGGTTCTCGCTCTCTCTTTCTCTCTCTCTCTCTCTCGCTCTCTCCCTCTCTCTCTCTCTCTGTCTCTCTCTCTCTCTCTCTCTTTCTCTCTCTCTCTCTCTCTCTCTCTCTCTCTCTCTCTTTCTCTC